TTTTAACAAACCATGAGGTTTGCTTTTAGATATTATATTTAGCTATTACATATTTTGACTGCTCTTACAGCAGATGCTGTTCATCAGGTAGTTCTATACATTCACGTTTTTGTTTTTCAACATTTTTTTCAACATTTATTAAATTGACAACCAACATGCAGTTTGATTGCTTTCATGATTCATTATCATATTTTTTGGCTCTTAAATTGTCATAGCAGTAGCCTATATTGCAATTCAGTTGTGTCATCAATATCATAACTCACTTTGTTCGGATAGGAAATCAGATGTTGAGGGGTTTTACAGTATCTGTTTTATATAACCTTAGCTCTACCCAGGAACAAGGCTTGACCTTAGCGTAACTGTAACCCTGCACCCTCTCAAGATTATAACCTCTTAATGTTACCATCTACAGTAATGTCCCTGTGTCTAAAGAGCCCAAGTCTTTCATGTAGAAACTAAAGCATGTCAGACGGCAGATGGTTTTTGAAAAGCACTTTTATTTTACAAATACAAACATAATTTTCACAAATGTTTGATCTTAAAAAAAATTTTTGAGAAAGATGAATGCTTCATTATTGTGAAAATCATGCTGAATAATAAGTGCTGCAACATGTTAACACTCATTTTAAAATCAAAACATAGAATGTTAAAATCATAGAAATATAAAATGGCTTGCAAATCGAGGGAATAAACATCTTTTACATCTGGGAATAATTATAAAAAAAAATTCCTTCTGAAAAAAAAAGGTATTGGCAACCCACGCATGCACACAATCTTTATTTTTACTCTTACTCTGTACTCTACTGAAAAATAGGCCTGTTATCGGCGCATCCAGTAAACAATCGTTCGTGACTTGGGACATTTTCGTGGCTACGTTTTCGCTGGCTTTTCCATGTGATTTTAAAACGGTTGCTGCTACTTCTGCAAGTTGCACCTGTTTCCAGGAGCAGAAGATCTGCTTGTCGTTTTACTGGAAAATTATTTTCCTTCATAAAGTGAATTGCCAGCAGTTGTTGTATGAGCTGTAGCCTAAGCGAGCCAGCTGTGTAAATGAACAAGTGCTCGCTTTGACGTCCTCCTTCACTTTTCTTCCCCAACAAAAAGGTTCGTTTCATTTTTTTAAGTGTTTCAAACTAATTATTATTAGCCTATATTTTAAAAATGATTTTGATCACTTGTAGTATCGGTTTACACGCGATAAAGAAACACAATTCATTCACTTCATAGATTTTTAAGAACCCACGAAAAGATTTGTAGAAGCGTTTTTTTTTTTTTGATTAGCCTAATTAAGAGCCGAAATGCCACATTAATAAATGACCTAAGGGACCTGAAAGATATGTATATAGTATTAAAAAAATACCAGTAAAAATAATTCTGCACAATAGGCTACTGGTTTAGGGAAGCTGATCAAACTGAGTTAACACTGACATCAGAGCAGCTTTACGAGTAAAAAATAAAAGTAAGTTGTGATTAAACGCTACGCTATCTGAATTATCTGAACCGTTAAATGTCAAAACATTACCGTTTAAAACTACAGGGTTTTTTTCTGACCTAGACTACAAGTAGGCCACATACTCATCCCGGTTTCGACAGAACGTAAAAACAAACAAACAAACAACCATTAAACATATGCACAATGATGTCGGAAAAGCAGCACCATCATGTACAGTACCTGTTAGAACAGCGGCTACACGGCTTTCTTTATTTGGGAAACTCCCACGGGCGTTCTTCTCGACACTGGATCCCACGGGCCGTGATTTAGAGCAAAAAGCTTAAATTCACCGTTTAGACCTCGAGTCTCCGTGGACAACCAGCCTCACTCCACGCGCTCTATCCCTTCAAGAAAAGCCAACGAACCTTTGTTTCTAAGATTTTCAGTATAGTCTATTTAAAGGCGGACCTCAACATCTGAACATCTGTTCAATTCACGTGACTCTAAAACGCTAACATCTGTTCAAAATAAGTTTCATTCGTGTGCCTCTAACATCCATCTGCCAAATGCCTTACAAGTGGAAATGAACTCAAACTTTGGTCCAGTTTTCTCCTGAAGTTCACTGGGATCTGTATGACGTTCATGTACAAATAAAAGTGTTTACTATTATTTAAAGCAAATATTAGAGCAATTAGAAAAGTTGTCCACGATAAATTATTCGTTAAAAACTTGATGTAATTTGTTTGTATGTCTCTCGAGGGGATTTTTATTTAGGTTACCATTACAGTTGCTCAGCATACAGGCCAGCTTCATCCACCCCACTTTCCCATGTCCTGCTGAAGGCAGCTTAAATTTCACAGACATCTGGGAATTCCGCACATGCCTCAAAACCCAATTACACACCTTCAAACGTGCACTTGCTTTTATTTCAAATATTCCATGATTCCAAAATACTTTCCCAGACTTCATATAAAACCAAACGCAACTTACATATGGTTCAAAGCCAAATGCATACCACTAACGTAGCAAAAATATCCTACATGCCTTGTTATAGCAAGACAAAAAACGCATTTTAGGCGTTTGTTCATATAAATTAATCATTTGATTTTATTTAGTGAACTGGATGTACTTAATTTGCAAGGCACATCTTTTTATAAAATGAATGAAACTGGACAACAGGAAAACAAACAGACAAAACTAATGAGTAGCACTGTCTTTTTCCCCTGCACACAGTATTTTTGGAGCAGCCTCTGGATATCCCTAGGGATTTGACCCTGTGACGCACGCGTGTATTTGGGAAGCTTTAGCTGAATGAAAACGATTATATTTAGTGCAACTGTAAAAAAGACTTTAACATTTTTAGGAGTACATCCCATGAATACAAACCTGTTTTCTTGTCCGCTTCCTTTTTTTCTCGCAGATGAACTGACAGTACATATTGTTGAACCTATACGTCCATAACCCCGGTTTAGATTAATTTCAACCAACTAAATCAGAAATCGGAATTAGCCAGACCTATCGGAATAAAACTTGATATTCCATCAGAATTTTATGCAATCGTTAAAGACTATTTTAAAATATGCAGTTTCATCTATAATGCATTCTAATGTGATAATAATTCACCATTTTCTCTTATAGCCAACTCTTCATTTTCATACTGTGTTTTATGGATTAAAACATAGTCTGCATTGGACTATTAAAAAATAGGGGCACTTTTTTTTTTTTACTAAAAGTAATAAAACAATGGCTTATTGTTTAGATCGAAATGTATTGTTTTTATTTTTCAACTTCATTGAACGTATTTTTGTCTCTGATTTCCTGCCTATGTCAACCAACTCGTGTAATTATTTTTAAATATAAGCCTAACTATTAAAAACATTCTTCATAATGAGACTACACGAGTGGTAATAAAGTGTATTTACTGTTTTCCCTTCTAAATTTTTCATAGTATTTCCAAAATCGTACACACAAATGAAGTGAATACATTTTGATACTAACGTATATTTCTTAAAAGTTCTTCATCTTTATTACAGAAATACACATTTATTTACAAAAGTAGCAAAAAAAAAATATATATAAGAATGCATTTTGACACAGGATACATTTGCCTTCATTTCAAAAAGTGTGTCATCAATAAATAAATAGAATTGTACTAAAACTTTGTATTTTGCACAGGATTCGAACTAGAGGCTTCGTTCCCCATCTTCTCATCGACAGTCCTTGTGATGCAATTTCACTTTCTCCAAGAAAGCTATGCACAACCTTAATTTGCAAGGCACATCTTTTTATAAAATGAATGAAACTGGACAACAGGAAAACAAACAGACAAAACTAATGAGTAGCACTGTCTTTTTCCCCTGCACACAGTATTTTTGGAGCAGCCTCTGGATATCCCTAGGGATTTGACCCTGTGACGCACGCGTGTATTTGGGAAGCTTTAGCTGAATGAAAACGATTATATTTAGTGCAACTGTAAAAAAGACTTTAACATTTTTAGGAGTACATCCCATGAATACAAACCTGTTTTCTTGTCCGCTTCCTTTTTTTCTCGCAGATGAACTGACAGTACATATTGTTGAACCTATACGTCCATAACCCCGGTTTAGATTAATTTCAACCAACTAAATCAGAAATCGGAATTAGCCAGACCTATCGGAATAAAACTTGATATTCCATCAGAATTTTATGCAATCGTTAAAGACTATTTTAAAATATGCAGTTTCATCTATAATGCATTCTAATGTGATAATAATTCACCATTTTCTCTTATAGCCAACTCTTCATTTTCATACTGTGTTTTATGGATTAAAACATAGTCTGCATTGGACTATTAAAAAATAGGGGCACTTTTTTTTTTTTACTAAAAGTAATAAAACAATGGCTTATTGTTTAGATCGAAATGTATTGTTTTTATTTTTCAACTTCATTGAACGTATTTTTGTCTCTGATTTCCTGCCTATGTCAACCAACTCGTGTAATTATTTTTAAATATAAGCCTAACTATTAAAAACATTCTTCATAATGAGACTACACGAGTGGTAATAAAGTGTATTTACTGTTTTCCCTTCTAAATTTTTCATAGTATTTCCAAAATCGTACACACAAATGAAGTGAATACATTTTGATACTAACGTATATTTCTTAAAAGTTCTTCATCTTTATTACAGAAATACACATTTATTTACAAAAGTAGCAAAAAAAAAATATATATAAGAATGCATTTTGACACAGGATACATTTGCCTTCATTTCAAAAAGTGTGTCATCAATAAATAAATAGAATTGTACTAAAACTTTGTATTTTGCACAGGATTCGAACTAGAGGCTTCGTTCCCCATCTTCTCATCGACAGTCCTTGTGATGCAATTTCACTTTCTCCAAGAAAGCTATGCACAACCGAGTTTTCAAAAAACAACAATAGAAAAACATGCATATGCACACATTTCCAACATTCGTCGTCAATAATAACACTCGCGAGGAAGTCCATATGCTGCGCGCGCGCAACAATTCGCTGTCCGTGGCCTTCTCTCGGTAATAGCCATGACCTCTGTTGGAACATTTGCAGTTTTCCCCAAGATTATGAAGGAATCTAGCATTGCGTCGGCGCATTGGTCCTCGAGTTTTCCCAGCTCTTGGCTTTCACCTGCGAATAATAGCATGATTTAGGAGGGACAATGTTTGCTATAGGAAAAACATTATTTACAGTAACCTATTTGTTTTGAGAAAGAAAAAATAATCATTCTAATCGATTGTGGGAAACAATGTGCTATAATAGGCCGTGCTGGTAAACAATTCGGTTGCATTACACGCAAAAGCTGTTTTAACAGCTTCTCAACTTTTTATAGACTTGAGCTACGTTGGCCAAACTTAATTATTTATTTAGCGTTATTACTATATCTAAAGGGAGAGGCAGTGTGTAAAAATAAAGCCATGCAGATAGTAAACAAATCCAGACGATCTGAAATACATGCAACAGTTGCTGGCTTTCCAACTTGTGACCAAACGTGTAAAATGAAGTAAATGTTTTGAGAGATCTAATTCAATTGTTAACAACATCATTAAAGGCGAGGGATATTGTGAAAGCGTACCATTTGAAAACAAAAAAAAAAGTTTCCCTGCACACTAGTGAGATGCAGACATGGACCATGCGCCCTCCATCCTCCAAACTGAGAACGCGTAGCTCAAACGCTCGTGAGCAACATAACTACAACTTGCCATCTTGGAGTCCAGCTCGTCACTCTGTAGAACCTGACAGAGAAAATCGATGTACCTGGAGGCGAGTTTTAGCGTCTGTATTTTGCTCAGTTTGTCGGAGGGTAAAGTGGGGATGATTTTGCGCAAAGCCGCAAACGCTTCGTTGAGCGACTGCGTCCTCTGTCGCTCCCGCACGTTCGCCGTTACGCGCTGCGTCTGCAGCTCCTCGAAAGACTGAGGACTGTTGCTGCTGTTGCTAGACTTTTTCCCCCTTTTCCCAAGGGTCGAGCTATCGGAATCCTCCCCGTTTTTCCTGCTCGTCCGTCTTTTCCTTCCGCACCTCTTCGGTGGCCTGTCGGGCTCTCCGTCGCTGTTGCTGAGGCTGTCCGCGGGAGACACGGGGGAGCTGGAGGAGTCTCGCGCGGGCTCTTCGGGCATCTCGTTCTAGTCTGCTGAAAGCGCGTGCGATCCAAGACGTTATTCCCTCATGAGGGTGAAATACAATTCCAAGCGTGCGTTGCTTATTCTCAGGGAAATAACTTGGTATCCGGGATTCCAAGCAACTTTGAGTTGGGTTGAAGGAAAAAGTTGGGGAGCTCTTATAGTCTGCTAAAGTGTTTGTGAGAAGAGAGACGATTGGCCAAGAAGTCTTAAGACGCGAGAAGGCGGGTGGGGGAAACTTTTCTTTTAAACTCGAGATATTTTCCTTGACAAGTCTAACAGTTCTTTGGGGAGCAGAAAAATAGCGATTGCGCGCTCAACTAACTGAAAGGATTCGCTGTGCATTGATTAGATTTTAAAACAATTTTAGAATCAACTCGGTATTTCCTTTGTAATTATAACCTACTTATTTCGGTTATTGGTTATTTCATCACACGAACATATTCTTTTAGAACGAACACAACATTTCGTCTCTGTAACGAAAATAAAAATAAATCAATAAATAAATTCAAAAAAGCCACTGAGAAACACTCATTGTCCAAAACAATTCTAATAACACATGCCTGAATCTAGGCATCTAGTCTGCCAGGTTCAGCTTGATTTGTGTTTAGAAATCAATTAGGAATTATAAATGCAGAAGTATGTCTGAAAATATCAGATCTAATTCGAAATACTATTTTAGGATGCAAATAAGTGGTTTTCAGACTCAGTAATTTATATGAATTATATATTACATAATCTTGATTGTGACAGCACTTGCAAGAACAATTTGAAACCCAAACCAAGATATACAACCTAAACATGTCAAGCGTAAATAATCAGAATCTATGAACTTTTAACACATCAATAAAATACCGTCCACTGTAACTGCACAGATTTGTAATTTTATAGTTTTGTTTATATAAAGTGAACGGATAAATGTTCTCCACCAGGGGTCGGGATATTCTGGTTGTTCATTCCAAATTCGAAAATACTACAGTTACATTTTCTTGAATTTAACTGGCAGTGAACTAAATCAGATACTAACACAAATTATCTTGAAATCCATCAGAAATCCAGACTGATCTGGAAGACTGGCAGGTATCCAATTCAACTTTTAACATTTACAGTTTACACTTTTCCCATTCCACCTGAGAATAATTTCAATTCATCACATTTTAAAGGCAGAATTATCTCAAGACAAAGAAGAAACTAAATCTCCCATTTCCACCATGTGATGCTTCATGTTTTTATCCAGGGACAACATTACAGAGTACAGCACACTATCTGAAGGTCTTTGAGCAACCAGCAGATAACCCTATAACACTTGGGCTGTAGCCCTACCAAGGGGACAAAAATTATCTTGGTAATGTCCAATATTCACCTCTTGCATAATTTAAGGTTGTTGCACAATTTGTGCAGCTAGGGCGGGAGATTGATAAACATGTTAGGGGATTTTGGTTCGGCTCAGTCCAATGTTTGTGCAGTTCTGTTTCAGCTTCTTGGGTCTCTTCAAAGACAAATCCTGGATTCACATTATACATCTAACACCACACACGTGGCATATAATCGATTTCCCTGTGCAGGACTGCTGAGTGAGTGAGGATTTTGACTCATACTAAGTATGTGATGATGATTCACGCTCTGACTCAAATATCGAGAAGTCCAAGAATTTTATATTTTACAGCTCCTCCCGCTGCACAGAGTGCAAGGACAGATCCAGCACTACTCTAAAGCCAGAGCACATCATCTCTTTGGGCCTTCACTCCTGTCAAGTGGTGAAACAAGCCACCAATGTTGTACTGTATGCATACAAGTATTACTAGATTGACTATTCACATATTCACTACTACCTCATCAGCAACCGTTCTTGAAGGGGAGGCAAAATGTTGAAGGCTCATTAGCGAGTTCTGCTCGTGCATATCACTTTCTCTGGATTTCCTTGCAAGTTACCATCTTACATTGTATGCTTGGAAGGACAAACAGGCCTAAAAATAATTTCTAGGTGGGATATTCTGAGCAATAGACTGCTGAAATAATAGATAGATAGATGGATCGAAGGATGGACAGACAGATACAGTGGATGGATGGATGGACGGACGGACAGACGGACGGATGAATGGACGGGCGGATGAGCAGACAGAGAGTCGGATGGATGGACAGATAGATAGATATATACAGTAGATGGATGGATAGATGGAAGGGCAGACAGACAGATAGATGGATGGATGGGCAGACAGAGTCAGATAGATATATACAGTAGATGTATGGATAGATGGATGGGCAGACAGAGTCAGATAGATAGAGAGTCAGGTGGATAGATAGATAGGAGTAAATGGGTGGATGGATGGAAGGATGGACGGACAAAGACAGAGACAGAGATGGTAAGTTTATTAAAATAACAAATAATCCAAAACAGAACAAAAACTAGGCAAAAGGTAAATTCAAAACACAGGGAACAGAAAACACGACGTAACTCAAACAATACTGCAGCAAAGACAGACAGTGAGAGCATGGTATAAGTAGTGATGAAATGATGAGTAAATTGCCAACAAGTGATAATGATCAGAACAAAACGACAAAGCAAAGGACTATGGGAAACGGAGTTCAAAACATGTAACACAGAAACAGGAAGTGCACCCTCAAGTGGCCAGTCCAGGGCACCACAACCAGACAATGTGACATTACCCCCCCCCCTCTACGGAGCGGATACCAGACGCTCCACCAGAACACACAAAAGTTCAGGAGGGAGGTGGAATTGAGGCGGACCAGGGGGAGGGATGGTGGGCCAGGACCATACAATGGAAGGGGGCCAGGGGACTGAGATAGTCCAGGGCATGAGCACAGAACCGGCAGGGTGAAAGGCCAAGGCGGGGCTGGCAGGATGAACCAGCAAGGCCCCAACCACACAGGAACCCCAGCAGATAGCCAGGATGGAGCCGGAGGAATGAGCCAGTGAGGCTCCTGCCAAACAGGAACCCAGGCGGGCAACCAGAGCAGAGCCGGAATCCTGCCAGGCAACACTGGTGGGACAGAAAACCCTCTCAGCGACTCAGGGAAAACTGTAAACAAGAGCAGTGAGAGTTTAGTACCAGCCTCAATGGCTGCAACAGGACAGGCCGATTGATCCGCAATGGTCCCTGTGAGCTCCCAGACTGGAGTGAATTCCTTAATGAGCTCTGAGAGCTCCCGAACTGGAACAGGCTCTGAATTAGACCTTATGAGCTCCCGGACTGGAGCGGGCTCAGGAGCAGACCCTGTGAGCTCCTGGACTGGAGAGGACTCCGAGGGCTCTTGGACTGGAGCAGGCTCTGGAATAGACCTTGTGAGCTCCCGGATTGGAGCGGGCTCTGGAGTGGGCTCAGAGGGCTCTTGGACTGGAGCGGGCTCTGGAATAGACCTTGTGAGCTCCCGGACTGGAGCGGGCTCTGGAGTGGACTCTACTGTCCTTCTTCTCGCCCTCCGCCGCTTAGTGGGAGTCTGAAGGGTAGAGGTAGTGGGAAAATCCCTGCGGAAGGGTTCTGATTGGCCCGGTATTGCCCACTGACTTCGACCATGGAGATACTTGACGAAGCCCTAGAAGTCTAGAATCTCGAGTCCTTCCAGCTCCCACTGGGGCAAAGGATCATCCAGACAGACATTAAGGAAGTCCTTAAGTGCAGCCCCCAGAAGTCTAGGATCTCGAGTCCATCCACCTCCCACTGGGGCAAAGGATTATCCAGACAGATGTTAAGGAGATCCTTAAGTGCAGCCTCATTATAATTTAGCCCCACCGCCAGCGTCCAAAAGGTCTGGGCAAACCCACCACCCTCCATTCCCTGCTCCCTCAGACCCATCAGAGCCCGGTGTCGAGCCACTCGCTCCTTCCCTGTGGCAGGAGGGGTAATCTGAATGTCCATGTCCCAACGAAGGCAAAAGCAAAACAAACTTCTGGATCTTGTACTGGCTGCAGTATTCTGTCACGGAATGCTAGGAGAAAACAAAATTAGATCCAAGTGCAGTAAGTTTATTAAAATAACAAATAATCCAAAACAGAACAAAAACTAGGCAAAAGGTAAATTCAAAACACAGGGAACAGAAAACACGACGTAACTCAAACAATACTGCAGCAAAGACAGACAGTGAGAGCATGGTATAAGTAGTGATGAAATGATGAGTAAATTGCCAACAAGTGATAATGATCAGAACAAAACGACAAAGCAAAGGACTATGGGAAACGGAGTTCAAAACATGTAACACAGAAACAGTCCAGGGCACCACAACCAGACACTGTGACAGATAGTTAGATAGATAGATAGATAGATAGATAGATAGATAGATAGATAGATAGAGTAAATGGGTGGATGGATGGAAGGATGGACGGACAGAGAGACGGATGGATGGATGGATAGATGGATGGGCAGACAGACAGATAGTTGGACGGATAGATAGATAGATAGATAGATAGATAGATAGATAGATAGATAGATAGATCATGTTCCCCAAGCTGATTTTTACCATATAGGATAATAAGGATGAAGAAATAAAAATAAAGTCAGTGGGGAAAAATACTAATTTCATCATTATTAACATCTTTTTTTTCAGGTACTGGAGAACTGTTTGCTGGAGGGGGTTAGAAGTTTATTCTTATTACATTCAGGCCCTCAAATGAACTAACGTCATGATGAGAGGCAGACTCCAGACATCATATCGGCTCCTGATAGGACCTGTCTGGCCCACAAAAGAGAAAGGATATGGGTGAAGATTAGAGAGGTGAGGATGAATATAGGCAGATCTAGCCTGTCTGGATCTGAGGACTGGACTATGAATGAGTACTTTCAGTGAGGACGGCTGTGCTGGTCTGGATGTGGCTGGATGAGCAACAGATAAATGGCACATGGTGGTTTTGAGTTTGCATTCTTCTTGGTGGACTAATGAGACATGAGCCAACCAAGAAAACATCACTTATAGAGAGAGCTTTTTAAAATATAATATATAACATTAAATGTTCGCAATGTCAGGATGAAAAAGAGGCCAAGACTAAAAAGAAGCCAAGTGTTTTTAGTGTGATACATATATCCTGCACAGCTTTGGAATCACCAGCACCACAGCAAAAACATAATTTTAAAATAGATGTACTGCAAACTTTGCACTGTACTTGCACACTTGCCTCAGATTTGGGGTTTTTGTCTGGTCTCCAGAAATCTGTG